GAAAAATTACGAGCTGATTTAGTTGAAACGGAACTTTTTAAAAAATATAAACAAATTATAATCGGGAAAATAATAAATGGAGAGTCAGTGCTTAAAAAATGGCATGCTTATTCCGAGAAATTGAATTGTAACTTTTGCTTTTGTTGCAAATTTTCGCTTCTGATAAATTTTGAATGTTGAAGACACGCGTGGTTAGGGTTATGAAAAAGGAACAAATATGAAAAATGGAAGCAAAATTTACTTTGGAACGAAAATATTAAGTCTTTTTTTATACCTAGCGGTGTCCTTACTCTAAATTTAATAATTATTAACTATGCAGAAATAATACATATCAAATATAATAAGTTTTTTTTTCGATATAGTTCAAGAAATGTGTAATTTCTTTGCATTTTTTACTGATATTTGGACAATACTTTTAAAATACATTAAAAATTTAACTTTAAAACAACAAACTGATACTCTGAATATGACGGGAAAGCAAAGATAAATACAATTCGGCCCTTACGATATCAATAAGGAGAAGTTTACGACGTAATTTTGGATATTGTAAATGATAAAAAATTAAATTAAATTAAAATTTAAAACAAGCAACATAAAATACGAGTGTTATGATTAAAAAAGAAAAGTTTTTTTGGCACTACTGGCATCATTTGCTCAATAGAATAAATCGCATAATAAATAAATAAAATGTTCTAAAATGCAAATATTAATATTTCACATACGTTAAAAATAATTGAAATTTTAAAAATATTTGATTATAATCAACCCGCTAATCGCCTCGATTTTCTAAATAAATTTAAAATCAATATATTTTATACGCTTTTAGATTATATCTAATTTTTTGTGTACTAAATCCAGAATAATTAAAAATTTATTTTTAAAAATATGTAAATATTTATATAATTTTAAGGATAAACTGTTAAAACAGTTAATATTAATAGGAGGGGGGGCGCTAGAAAAAAAGTTGCATGCGGGCGCTTAGGACCCCAGGACCGGCCCTGTATATATATATATATATATATATATATAAAGTTTGTATCACGAAGTTGGTTTGCGATGGACGCCTAAACTACTGAACCGATTTTAAATTTAATTTGTTCGCTGTGTGCATTTATATCCAACTTAGGTCATAAGCAATATTAAAAATCGCATTTCATTTTCGAAAAAATTAAATTTTCAAAATATGAGCTATCAAATATGACAGAGCAGGGCTTAAAGGTGCGCGGGTAAAAAGGTATAGTATGGCAATTTTATTCGATACTATTTCAAAGCAGAGGGCAAAAGATGTGTAATCAGCTTTCATTCAGCTCATCTTAAAAAAGCCACCTCGATATCAGTAGATGAAAGGCCACATTGCCAATTTTGTAACGACTGTGGACTCAATCTTACTAGCGTTCTCTGTCGCTGTTTCGGCATATTACAATCACCCAAGTACCTAACATCATTCTAATATCGCATCGCTCACATTTTCACTTAATGATCACTGTGTATTAATTTATCAATTTCGATAAAATACAATTACACTAATATACCTATTTTCTATTGACATAAAAATTATCATAGTAAGGCAAATTGCTGGAACTTTCCATACCATAATTAAATATTCGAGGAGAGAAAATAATCAATAACTGTTTTAAATAAATTCAAATATTTTGGATTTTTTTGAAAAAAATTTTTTTTTAATTTTTTGAGAATTTGGAAATTTTTGTAAATATTTTTTTTTTTAATCTTCGAAATGTTCTCAAATTTTTGTAAAAACGTTTTCTTTTTAATTTTGATATTCTTTGAAATTTAGATTCTTCTTGTAAAGGATGAAAAATTTTGAAAATTTGAATTATGTGAGACTTCAATTTTTTTTTGAAAATTTTGATTTTTTTTGTTAAATTTTCAAAATTACGTAATTTTTATGTAAAAGCATTTTTTGCACACCGTCTATACAAACAAAAGGTTCTTTAATTAATCTAATCGGATAATCCGTTCTTTCAAAAACTGCATAACCATTTTTACACCCTCCATTCACTCTTCATTCTTCATACCTTTGAAAACGGCTTCATACCTTTGAAACGTGCCTTTCGCAAAAACGCTTCGCGATCGAGTACATACCGAATGTTTTTTCAATCATACAAATCGGTTATTACATACTGTGGAAAATGTCGAGGACATTTGTTTGAATAAATAAACTTCAAAATTAAAAATCTTAGCACGGAACCCAAAAAAAATGACACAAAATGTGTACACATTATTAAAATCTCTACAAAATATATGATAAGATGTGTATATGTCTAATGAACATTTTTGAAGTAAAACTTCTTTAGGCGCGATATGGGTGTAAAAATTTCTGTAGGCGCGACACGGGTGTAAATCCGTACAAATGCAACGAAAACGCCAACGTGAAGTTGAACACTACGACGCTGTAAGCGCTGATGTCTCGAGTATCCACTCCCGTCATGTCATGCGTAAGTCGAGCGCTAAACCCTATATGAACTTGCATTAATGAATCACGTTTTTTATGTTATGTCCTCATGGAATAAGACTTTTCTTAGAGAATAAATGTATCATGGAATATAATAAATTTATACTGAATCTCGTTGAAGACAAAATAATATCTACTGCCACGGATATTTATGTAGGTTGCCATGCGACAGATCAACAATCATACATTCGTCAGCAGTTTCACAAAAATCGGTTATTGATACCGGGGGTTTGCCGTATGAAATAATTTTAGTTCTGAATAAATTTTACATAATAACAACTAATATTGATGTAAGTGATGGCTTAGCTAAGTTTATGGTTTGAATTTCCTGGTAAGATAGGTAACAAAATAAGAAGAAAGCTGCACATCATATTCAAACTCTTAATATCAGTAGGACAGCTGTGCCGATTCTCAGGAAATCTTCATCTATTCCAATGAATAGAAATAAAATCATATTTGTCAAAAGAAATCATTTTCCTTTAGTGTCTGCTTGTGCACTCACAATACACAAATCACAATGTGGTACTTTTGATAAAATTGTATATGAATACAATAAAACACATAATCAGCAGCTTCTATATGTTGCATTATCACGAGTTACCAGCATTAATGGATTGTTCATCATTTCTAAAACAACGACAAAAAAATTTATTATGGAAGAAAACGGCCAGCAGGATTAATGGACTTAAAAACTGAATTCCAAAGACTTTCAACTTGTAGATTAATAACACAAGAAGAAAAATTGAGTGAGATAATAAGTTTGAACGGCATTTCATTGCTTTCCTTTAACTGCCAAAGTTTACGAGCTCATTTGCCTGATCTGCAAGATAAAGTGCTACAACGTTGTACGTTTTTGTTATTTTTGGAAACTTGGATTAATAATGAAGAACGAATTAATATTCAGAACTATTACTGCGTTACTCAATACAAACGATCAAACTCAAGAGCAGGTGGTGTAGCTGTCTAATGTCTATCATTCATGTTCAGATACTCTTCATAATGCGACTCCTATGCAGTTTCTTGCGCCAACGATATTACTGGATATTCCTAATGAAATTACACAAGTAGGTGATATTGCAGTTGTCCGCTGTGTGAACACACAGAATCAAACATTGATTATAGTCGTCCTTTAAATTTCTCCCAATAAAAACATATCAAATATTATTGAATTGAACATTAGCAGTTACTTCATTTTTCTAATGAGGGTGCAAAACTTTTAAACACTAATCACAACGAGATACCATTAATTCTTGCTGGAGATTTCAATGTCAATTTTCGTTCAGAAGAATCTCAACCATTAATTGATTTTTTAAATAATAAATTTAATTTAACGATGAATAATTCTCCATTTGATTCAACCACAAGATATGGCTCGACTATTGATGCAGTTTTCTCCAGAAATGTACATAGTTTACAAAGCAAAATTTATGTCTCTCATTTCAGTTATTACAAACCTATTATATCATATATGAAATATGATAGCAATTAATCTATCGTTGTTGTTTTAAACTGTGTTATTGATGTTATGTGATTATTAATATATTATTTTTAAAATTCAAATATGATTTTTTTTTTATTTTTATCTTAATTGCCTACTCATACAATATTAAAAGTTTTACTTCAATCGCGTGTGATCCTTACGCGCACTCTTTTTTTTTTAACTTTTTTTTTATTGAGAGTTTATAACCGCTGAACCTGCCTTTCCAAAACAGTTCTTCCTTTAGTCAATACAAATAAAATGTTTTTTGAATTTTTCAAATCGGACGCTTCGTTCTATCAAAAACTGAATTAACATTTTTGGCTCTTTTTGCCCAGTATCTTCGGAACGGTTAGACCTGCCTTTGCCGAAAACTAATCAGCACGTCTCCTTATCAATACAAAATGAATGTTTCTTGAATTATTCAAATCCAGTAGAGCGTGCTGGAAATTTAAATCGAGTTTTGAGAGAACAGAGAATCCGATGGAAATGATCCAAAAACGTTCAATTTGTAATGATGGGGAGAAGTGATGATTAGTTTTTCGAAAAGTCAGGTTCAGCCATTTCGGAGATACGGAGCTAAATGTGCAAAAAATGACAGTTTTTGAGAAAACTAAGCATCCGATTTGAATGTTTCAAAAAAATATCTGCTTGTGTTGACAAAACAATTGCTTTTGGGAAAAAGTTCAAAATTAAAAATAATTTTTAAAAGAATGAGACAAGATCCTCCATTCTAACTCCCCTTCATTATGTTCTGTTCATTTAATTTTCATGTAAACATTTAATATTCTTCGATTTTATTATGATCCGGAAAGTTTCAGCAGTTTGCCTTAAGGCATGATGTTAAATTTTACATAGCGCAAAATTAATACAAACAGGAACAAATAAATATTTGCAGTCTATGCAAATGAAAATGTGTATTAAAAGAGTATTAAAGACACCAACCATCGTATTAAACACGGCACCTTTGCACCTTGCTAGATGACGCCGTTGTATATAACATATCACTGTACAGCACTTTTGCATTTGACTATTGGTATAGGTCGTTGATATATCTTGTTTTGCGGTTGGTAGCTTGAGTGAGAATCGTTTCTATATTTGACATTTCGTGTTCCTTTGTGCTTTATGTTATCTTCCCAAATCTTGTTTGTATTTTTATAAAATGGCAAATATTTCTAAGGCAGAGCTCCGCAAGGAAATTAACGGTGAGTTTTAAGATTACTTATTTATATAATATAAGTTTTAATTTATCATAGTAATAGAAAAATATTTCATTTTAAGTTAAATGTGAAGTAACCGGTTTTTGTGAAACAGACGCTAGAACGACGAGGCGTAATAATGGCGCATGACGCTTTCTTCACTGACCGCTTGTTTATCTTATGCATTTGCAATAATCTCTGCTAGTATAGCTCTTGCTAATTTTATTTAACTGAACATTAAATGCGGTGCATATGGTCTCCAAAGCAAATAATTCCATTTTAATGTTTACATTTTTAGCTTTGTGGCATCCATTTTCATGCAATGGATAATTTGGTTAGCCCTATTTTATAGTATTTAGTACTAAATAAAAAACAAACCTATATTATGTTTAAATTTTAAAATGACAAAGAAAATTTTAATTATATATATATATATATATATATATATATACATATGTACTTTGTTTACTTTGTAATTCATGTTTTTTTTTTCTAAATTTTGACATGTTTGCCCAATATAAGATGAATCGCAGTTCAGTTTATTTTGTAAACATCTTTTCTTTTTTTGGTAGGTATATTGTCTTTAATGTTTGTGTATATGTCTTGCAGTTGTAGTAAACACGATATTAACATCCGTGTCACCTTTTACTACAACTGCAAGACATATACACAAACATTAAAGACAATATACCTACCATGTTGTAAGTTACTGATGTAAGAACATATTTCTATCCACTGATGATGACATAAAATCCTATGTCGAAACGTTTGGAAAAAATTAAAGAGCAACTTCTAAATCTTTGCCTTTTATTTGATGTATTATTTATATAAAGATCTTCAAGGGGAATACATCAAATAAAAGGCAAAGATTTAAAAGTTGATGGATGCCAGTTAACAAGTTTTTGTTCTATATATATATATATATATATATATATATATATATATATATATATATATAAACTGTACACTGTGTGGGATAATAGTCACAAATGCTGGGCCAGCTTGTACAATTTAACGCAACATTTTCAAATCTAAGTCTTAAGTTATGGAGTTAAAAACCGGGTACTACATCAATAAAAAAAATTATGAATGTTTTAAACATTCATTTATAATTTATACCTTTCGGCTAACATCCCAGTCTTCATTAAGGGGAATATGCTGTCAAGTATAATGATTGAACTAAGTAAATAATATGTAACAATTTAAGAAAAGTAATAATAATAAACCAAGCTATAAACACAGTTTTATATCCTTATACTACAATTGTTGAAGGCACTTGCTCTATTGTATGACAATGTGCACTATAGTAACCTATGTATTGACATTACAATAAACCACACAAATAAACATGTATCATATTTAATAAGTTATGGAAACTATTTTTTGAAGTTTGGGATAGAAATGAAGGTTTAACATTTGTTTGACAATTTGTGAGAATATCAACAGAATTATAGATTTTTTTTTTTTTGACACGCTATTCAAAAACTATGCATTTGTCTTGTTCAGATATATGTAGTCATTTCTTCAAGACCTAATCACTATGTAATTGGATAAACAATCCTTTACCAAACTTTTAAAAAAATTCTCTTTGAAATGTTAAATTTTTGATTTATAAAAATCTTTTTCTATCTGTATTATATTTAACGAATTTGACATTTCTTGATATATCCTCTAGCAATTTGTGAACAAATGTTTCAGAATATTTAACTAGTATGACTTTTCTTGATATTCCTCCCAGCAATTTGTGAATTGTTTACTTCATATTGAAATTTTTCTATTCTATATATCCACACAAAATATTTTCAACAATTTTTTTTCTTACAGCTATTTTGAAAGATGCAGATCTCTCATCTACTTCTGCCAAGAAAGTGAGGCAGATGCTTGAAGAAAAACTTGATTGCAATTTGGCAGCTAGAAAAAAGGAAATTGATGGTCTAGTTATGGACTATGTTAATGAGCATGTTAAAAATGAAGATTCTGAAGAAGATGGTACTGAAGAGGAGGAGGCTAGTGAAGAAGACGAAGCTAGTGAAGAGGTATGTAGTGTTATGCTTAGTAAATTATATATATATATATATATATACATATATATATATATATATATATATATATATATATCGAATTTTTTAGTTACATTCATGCACAAGATTATCTTTTTTTTTTTTAATATAATTTTGTGTGCCTATAAATGCTAATATTTATATGTAGTATAAAGTGATATTATTATTTAACTATAAATAATATTTTAAATATAAATAAAGATCATGAAATATAAATTGCTGGACATGTTCTTAACAACGTGAATAGTGAACTGGGTATAAAAATGATGAAATACTATAGCATTGCTATGTGTGTTGAAAAATTGTGCTTCTCCTTTTTTAGAAATTTTTTCTTTATTTTTTCTGCTTAGAATATAAATGCTTGTTGATAGATTCCTTAGTCCTACTGCATGTGACCTGACACACTCTAGCACAATGTCTAGCAATAACTACTTGAAAAACCAAAAGTAAAAAGTAAATATATAATTAACAACAGTATTGCTAATAAACAAAAGGATTTTGAATTATGTTCACAGGTAATTAATTATTCTTTTTTAATGGTTTATTATCTTGCTATTATTTTTAGATCCTCTATTTTCCTTGCTTACCACAAAATCTGAAGGTGGTAGATATCTGACCTACTACTATATTATATAATGGCATGTATGTAATAAAACTCGATTCAAGCAAATATAGTGTGCTAGATTTGTCTTGTTGAAACATTAAAAACAATTTCACTCAGCATTGCTTGAAGACAATTGGAAACGTATGTTTTTATCTGTATTTACAAATAAAAATTGATACTACTTATGCGTAGTACTAGATATATATACATATATATATATATTTGCGATTATCTGCACTAACAACCGCGTCAGAGTTATATGTATGTACATACCTACAATTCGAATTTTTGAACGATTTATGTTGCAGTTTAGTATATGTATGTAATATAATTAAGGAAGTATATATGTACACACATAGCATAAGGAAATTTTTTTTTTCATATTAACCATTGATTTTTGTTGATATCTAGGTATGTATTTGTTATTTTTGATAAATACACATTATTTCTTCATACATTACGGTTAATCAAGGTTCTACTGTATAAATATATATATATATATATATATATATATATATAATTATATATATATATATAAACCTCGTGTCATGATGTTGGGTCGCGATGAACGCCCAAACTACTGAACCGATTTTAAATTTTATTGGCTCATCATGTGCATATATATCCAACTTAGGTTATAGGAAATTTTGAAAAGTAAATTTAAAACATAAATATATTATATTTATAAATTACAATAAATTTTGACAGATATTTACTTAAAAAAAAAAAACAAAACCCTAAAATGATAAATGTCAATATTTATGGAAAATTTGAGAAAAAAAGATTTATGATTTTTGAAAAAAAAATATTTTTAAGTTCAAAAAATATAATTCAAAAATATATACATATATAGATGTATCTAACATTTATACCCAAATTAGATGAAATGCTATATTCAAAATCACTGTTTATAGTTTTAAATCTAATTAAAAATCAATGTTTATAAATTTAAATAAAAGTTGACATTAAAGAAATAACATTTGTCAATATTTATGAAAATTATTAGATAAATAGATTTATAATTTATATTTATTTGTTTTGCTTACCAAATTAGTTCGGATACCAAAACCTCCTTAAAACATTATAGATCACAATGAAAAAGCGACATATTAAATTTAAACCGTTAACTTAAAATGATGAGCAGAGCCCGCGTCCGATGGCTAGGCCAAATATAAATATTACAAGCATAGCCCGCGTGCGATAGTCGGGGCAGAAGCAAATATTAGGCATTACAGATATGGCCCAGGACGGTAATCGCAATTATTACAAAATATTTATTTATAAGAAACTATAAAACACAAAATTGTTCATATTTTTGTGATAAACTCTAAGCTGTGTGGAAAAATAGTCACAAACGCTGCGCCAGCTTGAACAACTTTGGCCCGACATTTTCGAATCTAAATCGTAAGTTAAGGGGTTTTAACATTAATCATAAACAAAATTTTGACAGTTAAAAAAAAAATTGAAATTTATACTAAAAATATTTTTATAGCAAAACGTTTGCCATATATATATATATATATATATATTAGGAAATAAAGATTAATTTATAAATCTTTGTTTTTTTTTGAACTTTGAAAGAATATTTTTTATATTATTAATATAAAATATATTATATTATATATTATAGTTATAATATACTATAAGAATTTTTTTTGAACCCTATAAGAACTTACTTATATATTCTATATATATAAATATGTGTGTGTATGTATATATGTGTGCGTGTGTAATATATATATATATATATATATATATATATATATATATATATCGTAGAGTCTTGGATTTGTAAATATTATATAGAGCTTTGAACAAAGAATCCAAAACAAAAGTTTTTATTTACTGTAAACGTTTTGGAACTAGGTACATTCCATCTTCAGGACACCTGTCAAAAAACATGATCTTGATAAGATTTAAACGAACAATATGTTTAAGAAAAGCACAAGATGGTAGATTTTTTTTATATAGAATGAATGAAATTGTGGGAAAAAATAATGTACGAAATATGACAATATAATCAAAATGAAAATGACAAAAATAAATGAGTGGATTTCTCTTTTCTCAAACATATTGTTTGCTTAAATCTTATATATATATATATATATATATATATATATATATATATATTAACAAAGTCTAATAATCGGGCATAACATCAATAAAAAACATGAATTTCTTTCAAAAATTTATTTTAAATCTATATGTTTTGGCTATAATCCTAGCCTTCATTCAGTGGAAAAATCAGTTAATCTTAGTGTTAAATTGGAAAATTTTAATAATCCATGATATCAGGATATGGTAATGCACTACACTATGTATTATAAACATTAAACTTGAAATTACACAATATTTTCACAAAATACTAATTTAAAAAAACCACAAATGGATAGTGTGTTATTCGTAGACTGGTTGAAGATATCTTCTACGTGTGTCGTCTACGAATAACACACTATCCATTTGTGATTTTTTAAAATTAGTATTTTGTGAAAATATTGTGTAATAATAATGTTGAAGATATCGCCGAAGCCGACTTAACAACATGTAACTAACCTATAAACATGAATATATATCTTCTTTTATTAATACTTAGTAATAAATCAGTGATTGTAATTAGAACTGCAACAAATACAGAATATAAAAATAAATCAGTGTTTAATACAGTCCACAGCGACAAAGGTTAAATTATAACCTAACAACCTGAGTGATCAAAGAAGAGTTTTAGTAAATTCTTGAAATACACACAACTATACAGATTTTATGCCCGATTATTGGACTTTGTTAATACATATGTCAACATCAAATTCAGAATCATACAATATATATATATATATATATATATATATATATATATATATAATAGTTATGCAACTCATTCTACATAAACCTCTAATTTCATTAAATATATTTGCATGTTTAACTTGCAAGAAATAATTTAATTTTTATTTGAAGGAAGTAAAAGAAAAGAAAAGTAAGAGAGCAGCTCCAGCCAAAAAGAAGGCAACTAAAAAAGCTCGACAAGATGATGACGATGAGGAAGATGAAGAAGAGAACAGTGAATCTGAGGCCAATTCTGACGCTATGTCTGAGGAGGAATATAGCCCCAAAAAGACAACTAAGCCAAAAGCTAAAAAGGGGGCCAAGGGTAGGAGAAAGAAGGGATCAGACAGTGACTCTGATGATGACTGGAATAAGAGCAAGAAAACTAAGAAAGCGAAAGGAGGAGTAAGTATTATATTTTCATTATTTTTATATATTTCACAAATATAAAAACCGACTAATGATGTAGGAATTACACAGGCGGTGATGTAAAAATAAAAAAGCAAGTAGGCCACCTTAAAAAAAAAAATGTACGTCAGCGTGTTTTTGTATATAAATTTGTTTGGTTACTGCATTTAGGTTATTTTATGTTTAAGTTTTTTTATATTTTGTATAGGTTATTTTATCACTGACATTTCATATTTACTTAGAATTTATTTTTATAGAAAAGAGCCACTGCCTATACAAGGCCCTACAAGCTATCTGCAGAGCTGTCCAACTTAATTGGTTCAAAAGACCCTATGCCCCGACATGAGGTCATCAAACGGGTTTGGGCCATCATAAAAGAGCGCAATCTTTATGATCCAGAAAACAAACAATTTGCCATCTGTGATGATGAGTTGATGAAAGTAATGGGTGTGAAACGTTTCCGTACATTCGGTATGATGAAATACCTGAAGAATCATTTTCTTGATTAATTTGAAGATTAAGTGTATTCATCTATAGGTATATCATTATATATATACACTTACATATATATATATGTAACATATATGTAACATATATATATATATATATATATATATATATATATATATATATTTGTTACATGTACTAAATATTAAGAGCCTTCATTTGATTTATGTTGTAATTGATCTAAGTTTTGTGGTTTTGTGTAGTAAAAGTGCATTATTTAGCATTTTGATGAATTGTCAATTTTTTACATTGTTCCAAACATTTTTCCTATAATATGGAAAGCTAGTTTGCTGTAATGAGTGTCGTGTTGTGAATGTATTACACAACTTTAATTAAATAATAAATTATATGTAGTATATCAGTGATGGATCAAAAGATTTTGCATATGTCAAGTCTGTATTTTAACTTTGCTGACAAGTTTTAATACTTGTTTAAATTTATTCATCGGCCTGTGAATGAATTTTAATCCAACAGGACCTTATTGACTAGTATGATTTTGAATGATTTAATCAAGATTTTAGTTGTAAATACAGTAATAATAAAAAAATATATTGTTTTTGTATAATTATAATTGCATAAGAATCGAATAAAATAATTATTTAGTAAATTTGTATTTTGCTAATAAATGCTTTACAGATTTTTTCAAAATGAAGAATCCCTTGTAGACATTTGTTTGATTTTGTATACCATATGGTACATGGAATTTCAATAATGATGTAAAGAAATTTTTTATCGCAATTAATTATGATTTATTGATTTTGGTATGTTCTGTTATTGCTTAGAAGAACATGGTAATTTGATATGTGGTCTATAGTGTTTGATCAATAATTTTTGTGCTCCAGTTTTCAATTAAAGTTTTTGTTTGATAGCAATACCTGCAAAATGGAATTTTATTTATTGAAACTGGAATATGTGAAAACACAGGTGTTTAGTGAATTTGAGAACATGCAGATAGTAATTGATGAAAATTACATTGATTTTCTTATCAAATTATTTTTACTGCATTATGATGTGAAATCAACTAAAGAGTTGTATGATGTGAGAATAGATGATATTTTTCAGAAATGTTTGGAATACATGAAAGGTTTGATTGATTTGAGATAAATACTTCATATTATTATAAATATCATTGGAATTACATGTAATATTGTAGATAAAAGTTGTACGTCAATTGCTGTGAAATTAGCATATTATTTTGAAATTAATTTCAAGAAAAAAAAAGACGTATTTGCAACATATCGCAGTAAAATTAAAGAAAAGTTAATGCCACTGACAAGGGATTTATTGAATACTTATGGCACTCAAAGTAAAATGGAAAAAAATAATTTGTTTATTAAAATATGTAACTATATTGCCTTGAACTGTGGATTGGATGATCCAACCAGTTCTCAGGTATGTATAATATGTTCATGTTTAATTATAAGGTTTTCTATATATAAACATAATTTTGCTTTCATGCAAATGATCCGAAAAATGACCTGGTCATTTAGATATAATGAGTTAAATTTTGCTTTTAATGATGATTTTATTTTCCACTCAATAACACTTTTGAACATGTTTTTTTTTATTATGTTGTTAGGTTTCTAATAAGATTCTTTACTAATATTTCTAATTATATTGCATTGTGTGAATATTGATATCTACTAAATTTTGAAAAAATGTTTTTAAATAGGCACTTCATGAAACTACAATGGCATTGGAGTCAGTTTTCCCCGTTAATGATATACAATTATTTTGCACTCAGAGCAGGAAAGAGCGTTTACTTATACTTCAAGAACTCACTCAATTAGTTTCTGGAATTAAATTATTCAATAAGGATATGGGAAAAGGCGGAAAAAGCATTATAGATAGTAATAACTCACTTCGTATAAAAAATGATTTAATGTTACAAAATTAATACAATTTTTTTTTTTGTAGTAAATGAAGTGATCAATAATTCAATTAGAGCATGCACACTTGATCTACAATCTGCTTTATTAGAAGTAATGGATAATGTGAACTTGTTTACATCAGCATTAGTGAACTGTTTCCAAAACAATGAGTTTAAATCTGAAGGTAAAGAATTAACATATATATATATATATATATATATATATATATATATATATATATATATATATATATATGATTAATTTCTTGGAGGGCGAATAATTGGAAACAAGCATCAAATATCAGTACTATCTTTTTTTATAAAGAATAAAAAATAATTAATAAATAAAATATTATACATACATTTCAACATCAAATTTAAACACTTTCAACATATATGTATATATATGTAATATATATATATATATATATATATATATATATATATATATATGCATATTCTATATTTTATTAGAAAAAATTAATGTAGTTCGAGACCATCTTGTACTCTTTCGACAATATGAAATCTATATTCGTAAACTCTTACAACTCACTCAATCTATTGAAGAAGATCACAAGTATTTAATAGACAACTATCAACTGGAACTAAAAAGATTGCATAATTTGGTTCAATATAAACTGTGCATATCAACAAAACAAGTTTTTGTAAGTATATTTATTTTGCGTTTAGGATAATATGTATTTATATTATCTGTATTATCCAATTAGGATAATATGTATTCATATTAGTATCTATAAAGTATCTGTATAATTTGTAGATACACAACATATATATATATATATATATATATATATATATATATATATATATATATAATTCTCTGAATTTTAGCCTTCATTTTTCACATTAAGCGTAATCCGATCAGATTTTCAGGATTTGCTATTTTTATTACATTATATTAAAAATATGATATATGAACTAAAATCTATATATAAAGGATGTGAACCTATTGATAAAAATAAAATTTTAAAATTGTTACAAGATAAGCCAGTATTAACAGATGCAGATAGATTAGAATTGTCGGCGAATGAAAAAGTTATTGTTAAAAAATGTTTTATATCCCGCATTGTAGATATTGCTGATGTTTGCCAGCAAGAAAATTTTACTTTGCAAGTAAGTTTTTGAAAAACAATAGTAGAGCTTATTGTTGAGTAAAATAAATATTTTCTTCCTAATAAACATTTCAGTATTTAGGATTTTGTTGCTGGTCCTTTGTACATGGAGAAGGAATATTGGTTCCTGGAAATCCACACATTGGAATATGTGAATGGAAAAATAAATATTTTGTATTTAGCAATGCAAAAGCTGCCGAATCATTTGCATGTGACCCAGAAATGTATTTATTTCTTTGGAATGCTCTGGAATAATACATCATAAATACTTTTAATTAACTTCATCTCAATTTTGAATCTATTACTTCATAAAAAATAATGTTATGGTTTCAATTAATAATATTTAAAACATTGTATCTTTATTCTTTATACATGAAATCATTAATATTTCAGGTATCACAAGAGAATGCTAAATATAATTAGATCGAAGCCAGAACTGATAACATTATTTCAAATGAAAAATCACTTTCTAAAACTAATCACAAAAAGTTTTGATGTGAACACATTTCTGAGAAGCAAAAGGGAATTTAAAGATGTAAGCATTCAAACAGCAATACATCTTAACACACATAAAAAAGTTTCTAACTACTCTTCAAATCTATGGGATTTAAGAAGAAGAGCATTAAAAATGGTACACAAATTTTAACTTTTATAAATGTAAACTATCGATTACAATTTTATAATAAAAATTAAACCTCTTTATTAATTTTCAGGCTTCGATGACTTATGGCAACAACAAACTGAATAATATATGAAATATTAATAGTGCAATTTTAATAACATAATACTGTAAAATTTTTACATAAAGTGCAGAAAATAAAATAATTCAGTTACTTGTAGTATCAATCTTGATTTTATTTGATGTGATATGTAATATTTATGCATATAAATAAAAAAATATATATTAATTATTATTTTAAGTTCATTAAGGGTTAATGATCATAACAGTTTCTTTCAAAGCTATTTAATTAAAATATATATATATATATATATATATATATATATATATATATACACATTACATTTTGTGTTAATTAGTGTAGTATAGTGTTTATTTATTTTTGTCTTTGTTAAACTCCAATTTGATTCAAACTTTAAGATAGTCCCCACCCCAACTAAAGTTTCTTACGGAAATAACATGGGTAAAATTCCATTTCCTTCTTAGAAACAAGTAAATCAAAATTTTGAAAATAATATTGTATTTCCTTATTTTGATCATAAATAAAAAAATTACAACAAAAATTTGATATATTTTATGAAATAAGTATTTACTTAGAAAGAAGAACCAAGATACTTTGGTTGGAGTGCAGACTATCTTTATATTATGTTGTGACAACATAATTTCGTTCTTACATATTTGTCAGAACTAAAGACCTTAGAATATAAGATAAATAAGATAGTAATTATCACAATATATAATAGTGTAAGGTTTGCAAAGAACTTTCTTGTAAGAAAGTGTAATAGTTGTAAGAGTTGCAAAGATATATATATATATATATATATATATATATATATATATCGTTATACTTTAAATAAACTGTAATTTATTGCTATCAATATATATATAATATAATAAATTGGTATTTTTGTTAACAAAACTGAACTTCAAATCGTTCATGCGCATATATAAAATTTGAATTTTCGCGCCACTGATGTCGGTACTAGTGTTTTCTAACCAAACCATAAATGATCAAGTTCATTCTGTACTAGTCGCCATTTTCTCATAGTAGTGGCCGGTCGTAGAACACGTGCGTTTCTGCACACTTATAGAAGAATCTTAAATTAACTTGTTCTGTATTGCATGTTATAAGTATTCGTATAATTATCATATAGTAGATAAAGTAAGCAAAATGAATACTGAAAAATTGAAGAAAATGCAAGCGCAAGTGAGGATTGGCGGCAAGGGAACTCCGAGGCGTAAGAAGAAGGTTGTACATGCAACAGCAGCAACCGATGATAAGAAGTTACAATCATCGCTCAAGAAGCTTTCTGTTAATACAATTCCTGGTATAGAAGAAGTAAATATGATCAAAGATGACGGTACGGTAATCCATTTCAATAACCCCAAGGCACAAGCATCTCTCGCAGCCAACACATTCGCCATTACGGGGCATGGTGAAAATAAGCAAATCGCTGAGATGTTGCCGGGAATCCTGAGTCAATTGGGTCCCGAGGGTCTTACTCAGCTTAAACGTTTGGCCAGTAGTGTGGCCGCTGGGGGTGCCATGAGTCGAGGTGGGCTCGGCGTCACGGATGACGATGAAGTCCCAGACCTAGTCGAGAACTTTGACGAGGCTTCAAAGCAAGAAATAGCACCAAAGAAAGATGATAAAGTAGAAAAGCCGGCTGATAAGAAACAAGATTAAGCATCATTGTAGCACCTAACCTCTTCACATGCATCTCTTGTGAGTCATCTACCAAAATCATTTCATATTTCATATCTCCTTGCGTACTTAGTGATCGAGTTTAGTATACATGTATTCAAGGTTGAAGATTTTCATCATGAGCACTGTTGATGCTTATTATTATGCATTTCTTGTTAAAAGGATGGACGAGCTTTATTCAAGTAGTGGCACTTGTGACCATCCTTTTATGAAATATACTGTGAATTAATGTACAGATACATTGAATATATATCAACATATTTCATCAATTTTGTTTTTTTTTTTTCATATTTATTTCAGTGATTGCCGTTGTTCCATGGTATTGGTTCTTTTGACTTTAAAATAGTTAATGTGAAAAAATTTCATTAACTTTACAGGTTTTGGACGTATTCACAAAGTGTGAGATTACTATCAGTATGATGTGTAAGTACACAATTTTTGTTTTAAAAATAAGTTCAGGCTTTGCTTTGCTCAATGCTAGTTCATTCGCATAAATTGCATTTGCATTTGCTATGTAGCCATTTGTTACTTTAAAATTAAGATAAGATTAAAATATTTTAATGGGTGTTTAAGTCGATTATGTTTTAAATAATTAAGGTTTTGTGCATATATTTTGTTAGCTTATATTTGGTTTACACTATGTCCTCTCATGAAAAATCTTAAAATCACTAAAAATACATCACTGTGATTCACATTAGAATCTGAAACTAGAAACATGTTACAAAATTAGCAGAAAAAGATTTGCTAATGTATGTTACATACTGCTTTATCAATTTAGTCAGATTCTCTCAATAAGAATTTTTAATGCGTTACAACTTTGTTGTGTTGCATATTCTATGCAAGAAAACATTTATGTGGATGTGTTCAATCATTTGATTCTGTTAAATTGATCAAATATGAATATTGTACGAGGCTAGTTAACAACCGGTGGTACATTGACAGCTGACAAAGTATAGCAAGGAAAAATGTGGTGTTAGGATTACAGGTGAGTATCATACTTTATACTTCTCTCTGATATTTCATTGGTTTTTATAAGTTATGTTCTTTTCAGATATATATATATATATATATATATATATATATATATTTATATTTACTAGATGACCCGACATTGTCCTGTACTCACGTCTACAATTCAAAAGTTCCAAATGTTTTGATATCCTGTCCTATACTTTATAAAACTGTATTTATTGTCCTGCCTTTGTGATTTATTTATGGTCGCAGCGTAAGCTATACATATTGGAAATAGCAGTCTTTGAAGCCACTTTCTTCAATGGAAAACAATATACATTGTAGTACTCGAATTCACAATGCGTAACATCAGTTGCACTTGCTAGATAACTAAATATGTAATAAGGGAAATAATGCTCAGGGATTAAGTAGACAATGTAATTTTAAAATTTTTATGGATGCTATGTAAGTGTAGGTAGAGGGTATGATCAAGATTAATCCTACATATCGAGTATATAGTTTTGTGTTGAAGTTTTAGAATTGAAGATATAAACATGTATTTATATGTATATACATATGTGTAAAATGTATATACATACCGGGCAAACCTAATCAAGGTTATAATTTGATGTTTTTAAAATTTTTGTTTGGATTAATATTTTTTATAAGATTTCAAGATTTTACTTGATATTAGTATTTTCTTTAAATGTGTAACACCAAAATTTTTATTATAGATAACAATACATTGATGTGGAGTCAACAATTTCAAGTGTTTAAGAGAATAATATTACAGCGGTGTTTTGGTGATTTCATGTTTCATCAGAGTTGCATTTATTGAGAAGCTTGTTGCATAGGTATTGCAAACCTAATGAAGTTTAAAATTGTAGAACACATGGCCAATAACTTTCTAGATGATGGAGCCACTTTACAAATGGGTATTTTATTCAAATTATTTTTGTTTAATATTTTATTGGAAAAATGTTTTCATACCCTCTTTTGTAATTTTAATATACGATTATTTTCATATGTATTGCAAAAGCCTCTCTTTTTATTCTTAACACACTTTGTGTGGGCCTGGTAAAAATATGTACCCTATTTTCGGACTGTTCAAATGCGGAGAATAGATAATTTAAATTTAAAAATTGGCATGTAAAGAAATCAATTTTCTTTGTTCTTGATGTCATAGATAAATAAGCAGTTCGATAAACGAGTAAACTTACTTATTTTTTTATATGGCAGTTTTTAAATTTAAATTAAAGTTTTTTTTAATATTTATTGACAATTATGCTCTGTAATAACAACTTGATATCACAAAAAAATGAGAATATTTTTGAAAGTCTAAACAAAATGAAATTCAAACGTCAGAACGTTATTTCTTTTTTGAAATATTGATTAAATAATGATTATGAATTTTACTAAAAATGCTTAAAGACAAGTATTAAAAATTATTAAAAGATAATTTATACTTCATATATTAATTGGTTTGTATACATTTGATTCAACGATACATCATTGATAGAACAATGAAAATTCTGTAACAGATATTTGACATCAGAATAAGTTTGTTTTATAGACTGTTTATTTTTAATGTTAATCAATCACACCGCGATCTTTAATGAAATTGATAAACTTTTATATATTTTAAACAAATTCATTCAGTTTTAATAGTTTATTGCTAGTGAGATTTGTCCAGCATTTTAAATTGAAGGTTTATGCTCTTCGTCTTTCTTGATAGTTTAAAACTTAGACAATAAGAGCATGTAATATATTCCGAATTACCTAGTCAACATAATCATAGTCATGATTAGAAGATATTTGTGAAATGACTTAATACTAGAATGATGGAGGTTGATTGTATATCTATTTTGCCTGATTGAGCCAATTTGACTCAATCGTCAAAAATGCAGGCTTTTTAAAGTAATAAAATTTCATCACAAATAAACCTTAACCCAATCACTTTTTGAAAACATATTTAATTGTCAAAATACACTTTCTGCAAGATTTCAACTGAATAGTTTGCAATGAATAAATTTGCAGCATTGAATAAGCAAATTATAGCATGATACTTTCCTAGTTCACTAGAACGTTTACAGCAGTTTTTTATGAAAAGAAAATAAGTTACGCGTGTCTAAAAGGGTGAGTCAATTTGACTCGTATCCGGTATAGCAGATATGAATTATTAGAAGTAAGGGATTAGGGAGAAACAGAAATTACTTTTTGTATACTTTTCATTGTTTTCATGGAATAACCGAAAAATTATTAAAAAAAATGATTTAAAATTTTTATGTATATCACATTAAAAGTGCAAAAGAGGTTAATTAATTTATTATTATGCATAAAATTTTCAGTCAATTTTAATTGGTATAAAAATTAAATGAGAAAATTCACAAATAACGACAAATACCTGTTCAGGTTAGAGTGATTATTTGATTGATTAAAAAAAACATGTTACTTGTATTGACAAAGTGAAGAAATTATTAATTTTTTTCGAAGGCAGGTCTAGCGGTTTCGGGGTTGTAGTAAAACAAATTAAAAAAGGAAATTTCGGTTGGTGGAAATTAAAATAGAATAAATTATTGATACACAGGTGGACTCGTAGACAAATAAAAATATAACTAGTGGTGCATGGCATCGTGCCTTAAGGCAAATTGCTGGAACTTCCCGTGCCGTAACGAAATGTTCGAGCAATATTGAATGTTTTCAAATAGATTATTTTAAATATTGTAATAACATTGTCTAATATTTATAAGAATTATATAAACTGAATTGCAGGATTGAAATTATTTGTTTAAAGTACGAGGTGTGTTCAAAAAGTACCCGGAATTACTAATAATTAAATTTCGCGGGTCTGGAGTGTCTGATTGTCAAAATTTTTTTTTATTGTGTTGGTATACATGCCCCTAAAGTATGATGAAATTTTCAGCTATATTCACTGTTTACTTTGTCTGTGGTAGTCGCTAAGGTTCGACGTGTTTTTCTGAGCTCGGCGATTTTTACAATGGAAGAATTGAAAAGTCAAAGAATTTGTATTAAATTTTGCGTAAAAAATGAAATAAAGTGTTGCAAAGTGCAAAAATTCACCAGATATGGCTCCGTGTGACTTTTTCCTATTCCCAAAGTTGAAGAGACCCATGAAAGGACGGCGGTTTTACTCGATTGAAGAAAATCGCTGAGAGTGCTCAAGGACATATCAAAAAGTGAATATCAAGGGTGCTTCGAAAATTGGAAAAAACGCTGGCATAAGTGTATTATATCTGGGGGGGACTACTTTGAAGGGGACCACATTAATGTAGACGAATAAATAAATATTTTTTTTAAAAAACGAAAATTCCGGGTACTTTTTAAACAGACCTCGTATATCAGAATTTTAGTCAGAATTAAAAATAAAATCTGAACTATTTTCTATATAAAAAAATTGAAACAATTTTGGACCTGCCCTTGCCAAAAACTAATCAACACATCTCACTATCAATAGGAATCGAATGTTTTTTGAATCATTAAATCGATTGATCCGTGCGCCCGAAAAAGTGGACGAAAAATGCGGACACACACATCCATTTTTTTAGAGGTATGCCAAAATGTTCAGAAACCTTCAAAACATGAAGATATGCAAAAAATTTCAGTTTCGATTTTCGGCCCATTACTATAAATACCCTACGGGAAGTTAAAAGGTATGCAAATAGAAAGATAGTTAGGTAAGCAAGTAGAAAGATAGACAGGTAGATAAGTAGCCAGCTACCCGGTTTAACATGTAGAGTGGTAGAAAAAGGAAAGATAATATAGCAGGTAGACAGGTAGACATGGAGACCGTTAGAAAACTAGGTTAGATATGTAGATCATAGATAAATAAGCATAAGGTAGACAGTTAAATAAGGTAAATAAGTAAAAAGGCAGGCATGTAAACTATAAGAGTAGTTTGTTATATAATATATACCAATATGTTCATTTTTCTATATTTGTGTGTGCCTGCTGTAATAAGCATGTATATATATATATATATATATATATATATATATATACATATATATATACACCTAAGTCTGTTTTTACACGGAGATTGGTTCCAGAAGAAGCCGTGTAAAAAAAACGTGTAAAAAAAGACATTAATCTTATACAAAAATGGGTGATTTGTCCTAGTCTCTAAAACCTATTAAAATTAGTGAAAAACAAGAATTCATGTTTATTTTAATAATAATTCCCCTAAATTAGTGCTATTCACATTTGTTTTGACCAGTAAAAATTGTTTGTACGCACTAAAGGAGAATTTACTTAAATCTTTAAGCTAGTGTTCGCAAACTATCGATACTATC